CAGCTCGAAGTGCCGACGTCGCAGCTGCGGTCGCCCTTGCGGTCCAGCACCACCTTGATGGTGTCCTCCTGCACCTGCGCGCACAGCTGGGCCGTGACGGGCGTGGAGGCGTGCATGGTGGGGCTGGAGTTGATCTCGATCAGCCAGGGCTTGAAGTCGTGCCCCAGGATGAAGTCGGCGCCGTAGAGCTCGAAGCTGCTCTTGCGCGGCTCCACGTGGTCCTGGGCCACCTTCATGGTGTTGGCGATGGCCTGCTTCATGGCGGGGTAGATGACGCTGCCCCACACCGAGCCGCGGCCGCGCTTCTGCAGGTACTCCTGGAAGCGCGCGCTGGTCCACATGTTGTGGTAGGGCAGCAGCGGGCTGCGGCCCTTGTCGATCTTCAGGTGCTTCTGGATGGAGTTGTTGCAGAGGTGGATGGCCCTGCAAGGCCAGGCCACGGTCAGGGCTGCCCCCCGAGTCCCCACCCAGCCCCCGCCCCCAAACCCACAAAAAAAAAACAGGAGGGACGCCAACAGCTCCCCGTCCTGCCTGGGGGACCCCAGACTGCACCGGGGCCAGGACAGAAGCCCATGCCCGGCCGGCGGGGACCTGTGAACCGGGAGGCCACGGTTCGATTCCCGGTCAGGGCACAGGCCCGGGGTGCAGGCTCGATCCCCAGTGTGGGGCGTGCAGGAGGCAGCCGATCCGTGATTCTCTCTCATCCTTGATGTTTCTCTCTCTCTCTCCCACTCCCTTCCTCTCTGACATCAATAAAAATATATAATTTTAAAAATCCCACCAGCCCGGGCCACCAACGAGGAACTCCCCGAGCCTCAGTTTCCCCACTGTCCACGGCGATAAGATGGGCCTTGAGGAGCTGGTCTGGGGAGAAAGATTCACCAACTAACCTTTCCGGTTCGTTCACTTAGACTCGGGCCTTGTTCTAAACAGAGTGACGTCTCTGGGAACCCTGAACCCCAGGGGTGCTCTCGAGGTCACGTCCATGCACGTGTGTCTGGGATTCCCACCTGGTCCTGGCCCCGCCCCCGCCCCCGCCCCCATGGCCGTGGGTAAGTTTTACTCCGTGAGACACAAGAGGGAGAAGAAAGAGACTCAGGCACACGGAAGAGTCTGGAAGCTGCCCTACAGCAGGTGTTAGGGTGACGGACCCTCGGGGCTCACCCCGTCTGGCAGGGCCACGCCTGCGCAGAAACGATTTCAGGGACCCCCTCGCAGCCTGGGGTCCCAGATGGAGAAGCAGGGCGCAGGGACGGGGGCGGGGGTGCTTCCGGGATTTTCTGAAGATTCACACTTCGTGGGAGTGCAGAGCGCTGGCTTTGGGGGGCAGGGGCCTGGGCCTCCCCTCTGTGCCTCACGTGGTGGGTGGTGGGCAACAGCGGACACAGCCTGGGCGCCCTGTGCGGGCCCACCCCACGGCGCGGAGCCGACGCCCACTGACCCGTCCAGGTCGTCCAGGGAGAAGCGCCGCGTGGAAAACCGCAGGTAGCTCTCCTTGTAGAACCAGATGGTCAGGGGGTTCCAGTCGGTGACCAGGAACCACTGCCGGATGTCGAACTTGGTGTCGTAGATGAGCAGTGGCGTCTCGATGTACTTCTGCACCACCCACTTGTCCTTGGCCAAGAGGTTGTCCGAGGCCACCAGCTCCAGGATCTCCTCCACGCGGTTCATGCACACGATGTCTGCAAGAGGCAGCGTGGCGGGAGTTGGGGGAGGGGAGGGAGCGCGAGGGGAAGGGGGTGGGGCGGGCTCTGACCTCAGGTCGAGCCTGCAGCTGGTGCAGCCCCAGGACTGCAGGGAGGACGTGAGGATGGGGAGGGAGAGATGGGACAGAGGCCCTCTGGGAAGGCGGCCAGGGAGTGGCGGGTATGGCTGGACAGGGGAGCAGGGCCGGCTCTGGGAAGCCAGCAGGCAGGGGCGTGGGCTGCTCCGCCAACTGGGAGGGTCCAGGGAGGCCTCACGCCCACGGGTGACTGGACAAGGGGGGGTGGGCTGGGTGCACTAGTGCTCACCCCCACCTGGCCCTCCTCCACTCTGCAGGGGGGCTATGGTTTCTCACGCTCACCCCCCAAAGTTAGGCCACGTGACTAGTCGTGAGCAGTGACGTCTGAGCAGAAGTGACGTCACCGCTCCGGCTGCAGCATTTGCTGTCACCCACAGACCCTGCGCCCGCTTTCCCTGGCAACCCTGACGCCTGCAGCAAGTGGTGTCACACCGTAGAGGGCGGGGGACTTTGGTGGGCAGAGCCCCCCACACCACCCTCCCATGCCAAGCTGCATGGGCAACGGGCATGAGGAGGGATGAACTTGGTGAGGCTCATTCATGGCCTCGTTGAGAGCCACTGAGGTTTGGGGACTGTTTGTTACGCGGCACAACCTGGCCCATCCTGACTGATATGAGGGTGGAGGGGAGCTTTCCTCACAAGAACACGAGGCTGGTCTCCAGCTGCAGTAAGATGGGACCTTGCCGTCCTGAAGGAAAGGCTGGGACAAAGCAACCATCAATGGCGTGATGCTGAGCTGAGGGCAGGGAGGACTCGGAGGCGGGGACACAGCCAGTGACCAGGAGGAAAGTGGTGCTCTGGGGTCCTGACCAGTGAGTCTGTGGGTGTCCTGGGGGTGCAGTGGGAGAAGGTCTGGCCTGAGGGACGGGAGCAGAGAGCCACCAGCAGACAGCGCTGCCATCCAGAGCCGTGGGCTCAGGACAGAGCCCAGGCCTAGCACTGCTCCGGCCGGGAGAGAGAATGTTCCGGGACAGATGATGTTTAGGACAGAGTGCAGTAACATCAAATTAATAGATCTTTAAAAGTCACATAAAAATTAACCACTTGTGAATTTAAAACAATGACAACAAAAAAATAATTCAAGGGGCCAACAGAATCTCCAAATGAAAAGAAAAATATATTTAGAGGCTCAGGAAAATGAGAACATTATATAACAAATAAGAGGGTGCAGCTAAAGCCATATCCAGAGGAGATTTCATAGCCTTGCAGTTTCTTGTTGCACAAGAAATATTGAAAGTAAATAAGCTTAGCATTTAAGTCAGAGCCAAGAGGGGAAATGTCCCTTAAGGAACATTGAGAAAAAAATGTAACCAAAAGTTGTTCTTTGGAAGCACAAACCAACCTTGAAATCTTATTTTTAAAAAAGAGAGAAAGAAGCACACAGCGCTGACCATTGGGAATAAGAACATGGTCATGGCTGCGATGCGAGAAGATGAGGCATAAAACGGACACACAGTCACCGCGGACGAGGCTGACAAGGTGCGCAGGGCCGGCCGAGCGCCTGGGCTCGAGGTGGGTTATGAAGAGACCTGAGGAGTGGGGCCCTGCTGCCCGAGGGCGGCCCTTTGTCCACTCAGCAGCGAGCAGGAGCCTGTTGCCAGGATTGTCCCATCAACAAGGAAACGGCAGACCCGTTGGACTTGGGAAGAGGAAGGAGCCTCCCAGTGAACTAGCAGAGCAGGGCAGAAGCCGGGAGGACAGTCCTGTTAGATGCCTGTTCCCGGGACCAGGGCTGCTGGGAGCCTGGGAGTCTGAGCCCTGGACCCTGGTGCCCGGCCCACTCCTCACCCATGGAGGGCTGTCCCCGCAGCCGTCCTCCTCGGCACTCACCCCGGCCCCGGGACTTGGCCGCGGGCTTGACAATCCAGATGTTCCGAAGCCCGTCGATCTCCGTCTGCGGACTCGCTGAGGAGATCCTGTTCAGCAGAGCCTGGCACTGCGAAAAGTGGTTTCTTGGATTGGAGATGAAGGCCTTGCCACTGCAAAAGGCAGAGAGCACGGAGGGCCTCAGGGCAGTGCTGGGGCTCCGCAGCAGCGAGGCTGCTCCTGGCCGGGGGGCGTGCACACTGGGGCCCCGAATGTAGACCTGGGCCCGGTAAAGGCTGCAGGGAGACTAAGGCGGGGCTCCTCTATGGGGCCCCAAGTCAGTGTGGCCCTTGCAGGCCCGTGTGTCCAGCGGGAGGGGGTGTCTGGGGTGGCATTCCCCCCATGGGGACCTCCTGGTGAAACGCCAACCTGGCCCGGCTGGGCAGCTCAGTGAGTGAGCCTTGACCTAGGAACCAGGAGGTCACGATTCGATTCCCGGTCAGGGCACAGGCCCAGGTTGTGGGCTCGATCCCCAGTAGGGGGCGTGCAGGAGGCAGCCCATCCATGATTCTCTCTCATCATTGATGTTTCTCTCTCTCTCTTCCTCTCCCTTCTTCTCTGAAGTAAATAAAGAAATGTTTTTTAAAAATCAATAAAAACATTTTTTTTAAAAAATCAATATGTTTTGTAATTTTTGGGAGGTAAATCCTAAAAGTAAAAAATAAAAATGTGTAACTAAAAACCAAATGTAGGAGATGCAATAAAATGACGGAGAGCCGGACACCCAAGATGGCGGCATAGGTAAACACCAGAGTTTGCTGCCTCGAACAACCACTTCAAAAATACAACTAAAAGACGGAACGGACATCACCCAGAACCACAGGAAGGCTGGCTGAGTGGAAATTCTACAACTAGAAGGAAAGAGAAAAGCATACCCAGACTCAGAGGAGGCGCAGTGCGGAAGTAAAATACTAAGGTGCGGAGTGCATGCGGAGCAGGCTGGCGGCTGAGGGCGCGGTTGTCGTTTTCAATCGGGAAGGAGTCTCAGGCTCTGAGCTCCAGTTCCAGGCGAGTCTCTAGGGACCCAGACTCATACGGGAGAAGCGGGACTGTTTGGCATCGGTCAGAACCCTAGGGCAGCTTTCTCTCCGAGGGGCTTGCAGCGATTACCGGGACACTGAGAAGCAGAGCCTCTGAGGGCAAGACTGAGAGCAGCCATAACTGCTAGCCCCGCCCTGTGATCCCGTGGGACCTGCCCCGCCCAAGCCCTGCAGGGAGGCTTTTGCTGGATAGCCTCAGGCAAAGGCTAGATTAGCACCTCCCTAGAGATCCAGGAGCCAGGAAGCCCAGAGGTCAGAGTGGAAACATAAAGGACACACTCAGGCGGCAGACTCAGTGAGCACCAAAGCCCCACTGAAGCAAGTCTTGCCCCATAAGGGTGTCTTCAGCACAGAAGTTCTCCCACCGTAGACA